CCCCATCGGGGCGTGCGGGAGCGAGCCCCGCCCGTGGGTGTTTGTGTTTTCGTCTGCTGCCGCGGCTCTGGAGGGGAAGCATCTGTGGGGGCCTGGTGCGCGCGCGCGCGTGTGTTTGTGTGTGTGTTTCCCCTGCCGCGGGGAAATGGCTGCTGTTGCTCCTTCTGGGCCAGAGGAAGAGGATGAGGTAGTGTGTTTTTGTGCCTCGGAGTAGGATCAAGGATGTTAAGAGGAGCGCGTCCGCGGGGAAATGAGGTGGGAGAGGAACAAATGTGCGTGCGGGTTTGCGAGTTGGGACTTTGGCAGGCGAGAAGGCGGCCTGAGGACCCACAGCGAGTGGGTGTGTGTCGAGTGACTTGAGGGGCGGATGAGGCTGACCCGCGTCTCTGTCGGGGCGAGCCAAGGTTCCGGGCTGTGTGTGTGAGGGTCCGCGCACTGGGCCCGGGACTCTGGGGGCGGGTTCCGTGTGTTCGGGACCCCTAAGTGGTGTGTCCCTCACCCTTTGTGGCCGAGGGCTATGGAACCTCGCAGGTGAGAGCCGCTCCGCGCGGGTCGGGCCGGGGAGGGGTGAGTCTGTGTGCGGCTTACGCACAGCCGCTGGGCCCGGAGAGCTGCGGGTCGGGGCCGCGCTGCCGTTCCTGGGGCCGCGGCAGGAAGCGCTCCGGCCTGCAACGCGGCCTAACCGCCTCAGCGCCCGCCAGCCTCCCCGGACGCCTGGCCTGCGCGGGCCCAGGGCGCTGCCTCGGGCCTGGGCAGGTGGAGGTCGGAGGCGGGACGCGCCAATTCCCGTCTGCTTAGCCGCCTCCGCGTCTCCTGAGAGGCAAAGGCTTATTTTGGCGTTCGAACTGCAGACTTTTTCTCCCGCCAGCTGTGGGACCCGAGGGAAAGTGAATCAAGGCAGTAAATCTCAGGAATACGCGGCGTCGAGGTCCCTTCTTCTCATCCCTCGCTTAAGGGTGCGTGGAGGGACTGAGTAAATATTTGCGTTTTTCGTTTCAGATACTTTTTCGGTGATAAGATGTATGCATTTTTTTTTTTGAGCTAAATATCTTCTTGGAAGCGCGGGAGAAGGGACGCTGACTCCCGTGGCCTATGTTAATTAGTGGGATTGGATCGATTTTGTGCATCTGAAATTGTTTTAGCCGTCCTCGTAGGGGGAAAGGTGTGTACACGCCGAGCTGAGGAGGTTGGTGGGGAAGAGGAAGTTACTACTGGAGCTGTCATCCTCTTAACTCTTGACGACTTTTAGTTTAGGCTGTTGAGATGAATTGTGTTCAGGGAGTTTAGCTGAGCCGTTTGTACACATTGGAAGCACCATACTACATTTTGGGCGATAACTGCCTTACTGAGTCTAGTTATCTTAATTGTCAATCAAGATAGTCTTGCACAACAAACACCTTTTCCTCGGAGTTTACTCAGTCTCCAAAACTTAGATCATGCAGCCTTTATTGTCTACTCAGTGTGTGCTCCTGGAAAGCTATTTTGAGAGTAGTTGAAGCAAAACGAAATTATAAAGACAAATCTCCCAGTAGGCGTACAATGTTTTCAAAGCTAAATATAAATGGCATTTATATTTAAATATAATTATTTGCGGATTTACTTTATTTACTCTGCCCCCTCCCGTTTAGCTCATTTAGCTAGAACCCAATGGATAAAGTCATATAAATTCTGTCCCTATAGGTTGTGCTTTGTATACTGGCCAGAGGTTGCTCCTCTCTCAGCCTGATCTCACAAAAAAATAGTGCATGGTATTCACCGGGAAGTGAGGAGAACAGAAGAAGGGAGAGAGCGCTGTTTTCTGTTACCACTACTGGAAAAACAACAGATACGGTTTAGAGGAAGAAGGACTTGGTTTACAGACCTCACTTAGAATCGACTGTGCCATTTTTTTTTTAGTTGTTTGACCTTAGGCAAGCTACCTAATATCTGTAAGCCTTTGTTTTCTTCTCTGATATGGGGTTAACAATACCTTTACAATAAGGTTGTTGTGAGGCTAGAATGAGAAAAAAATGTTTTGCACATAGTAGCTGCTTAGTTAAATTTTAATTTCTCCTCCTGCATCCCTGACTTTGGGCTTTGAAAATCATTTCTAAATGCAAATACTAATTACCTAGAGCGATATTACGTGACTAATAATCGAAAAGAATATTTCAGAGTTGGTTGACATACATAAGATACATGTATATATGTGTATATATATGAATATATGTATATATGTGTGGGTATATATACATATAAGTATATATATACATACACATATACAACTTTTGTATATGTATATATATACAACCTTTGTATATTAGAAATCTTTTTTTTCAGAAATAAGATTGCCATTAAAATAGCCCAGGATATTAGTTTGTAGAGAATATAGTCATGCTTAATTTTATTTTCATATTTGTGAATAGCCCATCTCCCAGTTTCATTATTGTTTTTTTTTTAACTAATTCTTGCTATGTAGTCCTGGAAAATTTTTTTGTGTGTGTGTTGTTTTGATGTATATGGAGCTTAGCTTTTTCCCTTTGTCTTTATATTATACCTTCCTTTGTATTGTTTTAATTGATGTTGCTTTGTAGTATTGGTCTATGTATGCCTATGATGCTGCCAGTTGGTTGGGAGTAATTTTTCTCTTACTGGTGGATATGCTGGGTCACATACACACGGGAATCCTCTGTTGTTGGGCACGTATGTCTTCCCTTCTAAGATTACGTGGAGGTGTGCAAGCAGGACCTTTTCTCATTGTAGTACTCCAGGTGTCAGGTGGTCAGAATCCCTCCACAGGTCTTGTGGGGCCGTGTGGTCCTTCCACATTGGTGTGTGCTGCTAGTAGGGCCTCTGGAGAGAAGGATAGGTCATCTTCTCAGACCCAGGGATGCAATACAGCCCTCTGCTTAGTTATGGATTGATGTCTTAGTGATGGGAAGTGGGCTGGGGCTTCTCTGCGTATTCTCAGATGGCCTGAGGGGATAGGTAGAATGTAGGAAGAGTGCATGGTGTACAGGTTGCTGGAAGTGCCTAGCCTCATGGGCTTGGCAGGGTGCGTGGTGGGCTTGGGCAGGTCTGAGCGAGCAGTGAGTGGGGAGAACTGCTTGGATGTCTCACCATGCAAGCCAGGTAGGGCATGCGGTGGGCTTGGACTGGGTGAGAGGAGTGGTGGTTGGTTCTCCGGGGCTCCTCTCACATAGAACAGGCTGACAGAAGGTGGGCATGTCTTAAGGGCTCCTGGCAATTTTTTAAAAAAAAGTTGTATATATAGCACATGTACTGTGTGCTCCAGGACAGGCACATGTTAAAAAAAGTCAAGGAACCAGAGTTAATCTACATAGGACACCAAAGTGTAAGTGCCACAAAAATTGCTATGCAATTCTTTTAGTTCCTGTTGATTGATTCCAGTAAACAAAATCCCCTGAAATATTTTCCTGAATGTAAGTTAAAATCCTCTCAACTTACCTTTAAATAATTTCCCCTTTTTATTAGTATTTGTGGGGTAGTAAATGTGTTCTTCATTAAATTGTAACCATATTGTGGAAAAAAGAATGAAATGGAATCTAAGGTAAAGGCAACTGAGAGGTTAATTAATGAATTTTTTTCTTCTTTCTTTTTTTTGAGAAAGGCAAGGTGAAGAGAATGCCTAAGAGAAGTCTCTTTGGTTTAAGTTTGGAACGTCCCTGTTTACAAATGCCATATTTCCCAGTTAGGTCTTAGATCATTGTTTCCATCAACAATGTTAGTATATATAGTTGTAAATCTAGAAAATCACTAAAATTCCAACATGTTTAGTATCGCTTTCTGTGAAGGGCAACAAGGACAACTTTATTAAATGCAAAATGTCACATTTTGTTAAAATAGCTTGTGTTTGTTGTGGGTGTATGTGTATTTACAACGAACAGAATCATCTGCCATATGGATATATTTAAAGGAAGAATTCTCACCTTAAAAAGTATCAATGGTAGTTTTTAATACTTTAAAAACAAATAAAAATGAGGTTTACTTTTAAAATAGGTATTAGGTAATTTTCATTAAATTATTATAAATCATAATATTTTAAAACAACTTATATGTA